CCCCAAAACCCCAAAACCCCAAAACCCCAAAACCCCAAAACCCCATTTTTTATAGCTAAGATGGAAAAATGGCGAAATATCGTATTGAAGAAGATCTAACCTTCTTCGAGCTGAACAGTGAGATTATTTTTCAACGAATTAAGGGGAATAATCAGCTTAAGCACCCTTAGGCTTACTTATAGGAATCTTGTTATAGCTTTTCATCATTTTCTTAGGGATTCTCAGAGTTTTGCCTCCTTTGCTTACGCTACAGAGGTAGCTTACTTCAAATCTAGGGGATATTTTTCTGTGCTTTGAGCGTGAATTATGGTGTCTATTAAGTCAAAAGGTATGCTTACTTCTTCAGATTTTCTTTAAGTAAAGGCAACCTCAATTTCTGAAGTCTACGTTTCTAGATAATTATGGTTTACAAGATACAGTCTGTTTACTCAGTTTACTAGGCCTCGAACTTTTGGATATGGATAAGTTCTCATTAGACATTGCTTTGATTGACACTGACTTAAGTACAAGGGGATGGTCAATATTCTTAGTGGGTTTCAGAGATGTCTATGCTCATTAATTTTTGGAAATGTAAAAATACCTTATTTTAACTGTTTTACAAGATATTTTGCGAATTCTGAAGGATCTGTATTTTAAGACATATTAATACAGTTCCGTGTTGAACCCTGCTTCGTAGCCAGAGTCTTTCACATTCTTGGATCTATCTTATGATTACTTGATTGAATTGTAAGCTTGGGATCTTTAATATTCTCAGTGGGCTTAACTTTTGGCTGAATGGATACAGGAAAACTGTTTTCTAAAAGTTATCTGTAGGCTACCTCTGTCAACTACTTCATGGATAACTTCTGGTATTATCGGAGTTGGTGGCGCTGATGAGTCATCGCTCTCTCTAAATTCCCTCTGCTTCACTCAGTCTATGTTCCTTGAACTATACTCGAACATCCAAATACTTCTTCTTGCTGTTCTGGCTGCCATCCATGTCTGGTGAGTCGGCTTTGTTGTTTCTGTGTGTTCTTTTGCGAGCCTGACTGTGAAGCCCAGTCTTTGTCAGAGTCTGGCTTCTGAGAGTTTAGGATTGTCTTACCTGACTAGCTTAGAGTTCAGAGTCTGACTGAATGAAGGAAAACTAGCGATTGCCGGTGACCGAGACCCTTCTCTAAGTGAGTCCTTACTGAGCACTACCCTCCGCTTTGAGTTCTTACGAACTGGCAATGCCAAGTTTCTCCTACACAGTTAGCAATGACACAGCCACATACCTGATCTTCTGGAGTCTGAGCCTCATAGACTTCTGGTCGTTGGCTCCAGTCTTGAGCTTCAGCAACAACTTCTTGACGTTCTTGGAGTCGGAGCTCCAGCTGTTGCGTCTGCGACCCGGAGTGTACTGCAGTTCTTGCTGACAGAAATACTGGTGGGCCCTACAATGTGAGTGCATCCTTACCTGTAGAACTCTTGTAAAATGTCTTGACTGGGTACTCTGTCAAACTCTTGCTCGAGCCGCTTGCTGAGCAGTTTCGAGAAGTTGAACGAGTTGCGTCTGTTCCTGATGAACATCATGCGTTTGAAGTTTTGGGGACTCAAACTTCTCGCATTTGTGTTCCCGACTAGCTCAGCTTTCTAAAGTTTGTGAGCCAACTTACTGCTTGAGACTGTTTGAGCTTGTCTGCGAACTAAAGGTGACCACATGAATACTTTTTCTTTAAGAAAGAACGGAGTGTAGTCATTATTTGTCTTGAATTTCCATTTGTATGTAATTTTTGAACCTGTTGGCGAAGGGGGAAATGAGGCCTCTGAAGATGACATTCCAGCCTTGGATACTATCATTGAAGTTCATCATGGGGAGACCAGGTATTTCAGGTCCTATTGCTTATACTCTTGTTTACCTTTCCCATAATATACACTCATCTTATCCTTAATTTCTACCTCATGAACTGGAACATTCTATAAATTAGCATGTTACAGTCCTCATTGATTTCTAATTGCTTGTCTAATGCTTATCAGTACCTTAACTTCTTCCATTTCATCGTACTGAGTTCTTATACTTGCTCCATATCTTGCTGAAGATTTTGAAGATCAACGTCTTTGATTCTTGATAACTTTGGATTTTAATTTATTTACATTCATCTATGGTTTGGTTGTCATTTTAACTGTTTTTAATGAATAACATTTTGCTTTAAATCAAGTACAAAATGTACTGCGAGTCAATACTTGCAATCACATATGCTATTTTCACAGAGATACCATTATGCCAAGTAAGTTTGAAAAATTCTTAACATGTACTATTCATAGAACAATAATATAAACCCAAATCTAAGATGGCTTTTAAGAGGCGATTTGTTCATGAAAGGATGAAGAGATGCACTCTAAAGCCACTTTAAGCTCTATGCCGATATCTCTTTGCAAGATATTAGACAACAGTTTTTATTTGATTATTTCCAGTTTAATATTTTCTAAAATTTCTGAAGAATAACTTTTTAAAAACTTTCTTGAAAACACAAATTGCTGTGCCATATCCTTAATTCTGAGATCTGCATGTGCTCTTGAAGCCAGCATGAATCTAGACGCTATCCACACCGTAGCGTACTGTCACAGGTTTGTTGAACAAGTATAGAAAGCTCCTTACTTCATATATTCTTATTGAGAAATGCAATATTTTTATTTTAAAAAGGGGTTTTGGGGTTTTGGGGTTTTGGGGTTTTGGGGTTTTGGGG